TACCACCAGAGCTCTCTATGAGTCTGTTAGGTCTCTCTGTATAAGCAAGATCATGCAGCATTTGTAGTTTTGTGATTGACTGACTTTGCTCAGCCTGTTGTTTTCAAGGCTCATCCATGTTGTGGGTGCAGACTTACAGCTTCAAATGAACTCTTATAGCCTCAAAAGACAATGGTAGTGGTGTGCATCTGGTAAAGGCTGCCCGGGAGAGCCAAACCTTGTTGCTAAGCCACTCCAAAAGCCATGGGCACTTTGGGGTTTGACTGGGCAAGGGGGATATACAGGACAAAATATGACAGCCTCTATGCAAGGACACAATAATTTAGGAGGCTTCTCTCAAGGGTCTGTGGATGTGGCAGACACTGATTTCAATGGGAGGGGACATGACATTGACAATTGGCCCTGCTTTTTCCTAGGTATGTGGAACTAACCAACTACTGCGATTATAAAGACTACAGGGAAACTATACTGAGCAAACCAATGCTCTTTTTTATTAATGTACGGACCAAAAAAGACACCTCAAAAGGTAGGTAAATAAGTGTTTTTGATGTGGTTCTGCCTTGCTGGGCTGTGGGCTGAAGCGTGCGGGTGAGATCCAAGCAGGGAATGGAGAAGACGATGCAAGTAGCAGCTTGAGGCCAGGCGGGGAGCAGGGCCCCTGGGGTCTTAGGCCATCTGAAGCTCAGCACTAGCCGGCAGAACAGATCTCTTAAGGATTCGAGGGAAGAAGCCATCTGTCTCCGAGTTTTCCTTTGTACTTCCTGCCTGGGCAGGAAGTCAGCTAACATTTTGTACTTCCTGTCTGGGCAGGAAGTGAGCTGACATTTTGTACTTCCTGTCTAGGCAGGAAGTGAGCTGACATTTTGAGCTTGCAAAGATTGCACAAATGACTAGATTGATGATGATACTATTAATACTATGTATGTATCAAAGTTAGCCCCAGCAGTGTAATAATTAAGCACTCAGCTGCTAATACAAAGGTTGGCAGTTGATGGGAGAAGGATCACACAGTGGTTACTGTTCCTTTGAGTCTATTCCTTTAAGGATTACAGCGTAGGAAACATTATCGGGCAGTTTTACTGTGTCATATGGGGTTGCCTTGAGTCAGATTTGACTCTCCAGCACCTAACAATCACGACTACCATGTACTGAATGAACACTTACCATTTATAGTGTGTGAGGTATAAGAGCCCTGTAGGGCATATTATCCGAATGGAGACATTTTTGAGTTATGGAAGCAGTGTTACTGATAACCGTGCTGGGACTGCAGTATAGACTGGGACTGAGCATGTCAACTGGGTATATGGCCATCCTGGAGGTCACCATAAGTCGCTGGCAACTGGTTAGGATTTCTGGTTTGCCTACGAGGTGAGTACTTTTACTCTCCCCATCTAACAAACAAGATCAAGATCAAGAAAATTGTATGGTAGAGGCCTAATGCTTCTTGTCCAAGAAGTAAGATTGTCTGGTAACAGCCATGAGGTTTTCAGTGCCCACATTTTTTAGAGGGTCCTTCTTCTGAGTCTGTCTTAGTCTGGAAGCTCTTCTGAAACCTATCCACCCTGGGTGACCCTACTGCTGCTGCTGTTGTTGTTTGCCATCGAGTCTGCCCCGACTCAAAGCGACCCCTCCTTGGGTTTCTGAGGCAGTATACCTACAGAAGCAGATTGACCCTGCTGGTATTTGAAATACCGGTGGCATAGCCTCCAGCCTCCCAGCAACATGCAAGCCACCACAGGAGGACAGACTGACAGACACCGTGGGCGCAGCAGTGAACTCGAGCACAGCAAACGTTGTGAGGGTGATGGAGGACCGGGCAGTGTTTTGTTCTGTTGTACACAGGGTTGCAATGGGTCAGAACCCACTTGGCAGCACCTAACAACAACACCAACAGTAACAACCGTATGAACTAAAATTCCGACGTAAAAACGTCTCTCCTTTTCCTGGTCCCTGCTCAACTTGGACAGATACGTGTGGAACGTTGGTAGTGTAACGGTCTGTGATAGAGGCTGAGTATCTTACACTGGTGTCCAAGTCACATTCTTAAAGTGACTCCAAGGTAACAAGCAATTATACACACATTCCAAGTGGATTTCCCCAAGCGCTCGCTCTCTCTCGTTCAGATTCCTGGACGTTTCTCTGCCCGCTTCCTAATTTAGACCCACCACACTCTCCAGGCAGAAGTGCCTGGTAAGAAGCGGTGCATGTGAGAAACCCAGACCCCCAATGAACTTGGACCAGGAAGCCAGAGATTTCTTGCAGGACGTGGTTCACCAATGGGCCAAGGATGCCTCCTGCTTCTCTCAGGCAGAATGCAAGGAAAGAATAAAGGCCCTCTCCGTTTTAATGTTTTGATGACATGACAAGGTGTGGTACAGGGTACTGTGGGAGGGCTACAGAGAGGCTGCAGTGGTCTGACAACTATTGTTACAGGATGGAGCCATGACTGGTGGGGTGTGAGAAAAGCCAGAACAGGAAGGGGCCGGCCCCCATAGACGCTGACGATGATCAAGCTAGTCGGAAATTGTCATTAAGACTATATATGCAGCCCCGTTACTGGTCCAGACTGCATCTTTGTGCAAGTTAGAAAAAACCACCACTTTCTCCATTTCCTCAACACAATTTTACTGATGCTTCCAAGACACCTGTGATCACACAGAGACAGACCGACGGTCTGACAGACGATGTTCATGGAAGCACATGGCTGCTCTGCCAAAAACAACTGAACCCACTGCCGTCGACTGGGTTCTGACTCAATAGGACAGGGTAGCATTATGCTGTAGAAGAGCTGTGGTGGCGCAGTGCCTAAGGCATTTGCCGGCTAACCAGAAGGTTGCCGGTTCAAATCCACCAGCCGCTCTGTGGAAGACTGGGCAATCTGCTTCAGTGAAGACTTACTGCCTCAGAAACCCAAAGGAGGTCGCTGTGTGTCAGAATCGACTCGACGGCAGTGTTTTTTTGTTTTTGGAATCTTTATGGAAGCAGCCAGCCTCATCCTTCTTCCATTGAGCAGCTGCTGGGTTCAAACTATCAACCTTCTGGTTGGAAGCCAAGCACCTAACCACTGTGCCACCAGCGCTCCTTGGTCTGCCAGGACAGAGACATGGAACGATTTAACCATGTAGGGGTGGAGCTAGGGGTGGGGGCAGGGAGGAGACCTGATCTCAGATGGCTTTGGGTCTCAGAACTCTCCAGAGGAGCCAAGCCAGGTCTCAGGGAGGCTGGGGGAGTCCAGGAGGAGGCCACAGGGAGGGAGCCTTGTTCCTGGGAGATGGCTGGTGCTCTGTTTTGCAAACGAGGAAACATTAGGAGAAGCAGTTGTTCTTGTTATGTGCCTTGGAGTCGACCCGACTCACAGCAACCCCTCCTTGGGTTTCCGAGGCTGTATCACTACAGAAGTAGATTGCCCAACCTTCCTTCCGAGGAGTGGCTGGTGGGTTTGAACCACCAGCCGTCTGGTTAGCAGTCCAGTGCCTTAGGCACTACGCCACCAGAGCTCAAGCAGAGCCATCCTTTAAATGCCCAGCAAGGCGATGGCATGAAAACCAGCCACCTACACACCTTCCATGTTCTCTCCCCAGGCTGCAGACGCTCAGTGGGGGCCCCGTCCCCAGCAGGGTCACTCTAGAGAGGGTTTTCCATTTCTGGGATGTGACTGACAAAGTGCAGCCCTGTGACAGCCAGTTTTCTAAGCGGCACAATCATCAGAACTCCTGTTTCTAGAAATAGGGGCAGGCTTTGCAGCTAGGGCCGGAAGGAGGGAGGAGGGGGTGGGACTCGCTGCTTTAGCGAATCCCCAGAGGCAGGGCCTCATCACGTGCACCCGCATTGACCAATCCCGCTTCCTCGTTTCCAGAAAAGACGTACGCCTTTCTTGTGAACACGAGGCACCCCAAGATAAGAAGGCAGATAGAGCAGGGGATGGATACGATTATCTCGTCAGTCATTGGAGAGAGCTACCGACTCCAGGTAAGCGTTACCAGTCTGCATCCACGGCCGCTAACCACAGAGGGGCGCCCCTGGGTGACACAAACCTTTAATGTGCTCAGCGGCAAACTGAAGGGTTGGCGGTTCCAGTCCACGCAGAGGAAGAAAGGCCTGGCTGTCTCCTACAGAAAAATCAGCAGCTCAAAACCCTGTGGAGAACAGTTCCACTCTGACACACTTGGGGGCGCTAGGCGTCAGAGCTGACCACAGCCACTGGTTTTCCACCCCATGGCAAAGAAACTCAAACGCACTGCTGTGGAGTCAGACCCAACTCATAGGGACCCCTCCTTGGGTTTCTGAGGCGGTATCATTACGGAAGTAGATTGCCCAACCTTCCTTCCCAGGAGTGGCTGGTGGGTTTGAACTGCCGTCCTTCTGGTTAGCGGTCAGATGCCTTAGCGACGATGCCACCAGAGCTCCTAGAGCATGGGCACTTGATTCAAGGCCTGAGTCCTGAGAGCGACGCTGAACCACCTGCAGACGTTCAGTTTACCATTGCTTCACTGTGGTTCCTATAAATGGCCTGTGTTCTGGCATCTTATTAACAATGGGGTGAGAAGAAAGGTAGTTGTGACCAAGCCTTCAACATTTTTGGACGGGAGGTGATGTAAATTCAAAGGTTTAAACAATAACAAAAACAACAAAATTTAAGGCACTAGTGAGAAAAACCTGTCAAGAAGGAAAGAGCAGTCAGTCAGGGATGGTGTTGGACACGCCCGCGGCTGTGAGTTCTGTAACGTCCGTGGGACCTTTCTACCTGGGAAATTAACCACGTTTCGTTTCTCTCACTCTTCCAGTTTGATTTTCAAGAGGCAGTGATGAATTTCTTCCCGCCAGGAAATGAAGTGATTAACGCAGAAAATTTGAGCTTTGCATATGAATTCAAGGCGGATGCCTTGTTTGATTTCTTCTATTGGTTCGGGCTCAGCAATTCCACGGTCAAAGTGAACGGGAAAGTGCTGAATCTCTCCAGCTCGAGTCCAGAAAAGAAGGAGACCATCATGTTATTTCTGGAAAAGATGAGTGAGCCCTTAGTTCGAAGGAGCAGTTTCTCTGACCGGAAGTTTAGTGTGACTTCCAGAGGTGGGTTAAAAATTCTCAAGTTTGTGGGGGAAAGGTAGATACAACATCCTCATAGCGCTGTTGTGCTTGGGAGCTGTCCAGTCCATTCTGACTCACAGCGCCCCTAGAGGACAGAGTGGAACTGCCCCACGGGGTTTCCAAGGTTGTCATCTTTACAGACAGAAATCCAACTCTGCCCATAAGCAAACACATGGCCACCCATGTCCCACTAACTCCATCACCTCATCCCAGTAAACCAACAGCAACACATTTTCTGTTCAGTCCTGGAGTTTTCTGAGGAAGCCAAGATTTTCGTTATTAAAGTTATTCTGTTTTATGTTAAAGTGTTAAAGGCATTTTTTTTTTTTTTGAGGTGACAGAAATAACACATGCCTTGTTTGCTTTGTTTCAGGTTCAATAGATGACGTTTTTAACTGCAGTCTGTCACCCAGATCATCCCTTATGGAGTCTCTTCTGGCAGAAGGGCCATTTCCGAGTCTTGTGGAAGCAGAGGAGACACCCAGCCAATGTGTCTGATTGGTAGCACCTTCCAGCAGTCACTCCTACACTGACGACCCCGGCCAGGATGGAAGGTGGAAGGGACCAGAGGGGGTGGGAGGTGGGTTCCCCCACCCCCTGGTCAGGCCCTCCGCTCTTCTCCTCAGCTTCTCTGGAGGATCTGCTTGTTCTGTGTTCATGAGTGTGATGTCCGATGCAGCTGACCCCTTGCACGGTGTGGTGACCAGCAAAGGAGGGCTTTGGCCCCACAGCCTGTGGAGTCTCCTGGACTTTCAACACTTCTCCAAAGAGACAGAGAAGAGGCAGAGTCCTGCCACCCAGACATTTTGCTAGTGTCCTGGCAAGTTGGGAATCTTCCAGGCAGCCTTTGTGGGGGGTGGTCTACTTGAGTGTGGGCCTGTGGGTTTGGCCTCCTGCTTGGGACATCCTTGTCTGAACCCAAACCCAGCAAGCACGGGGTCAGCATTGAGGTTCTCTTGTCAAGCTGGCTTTGCAAGAAGCTGTTGACCTCTTTGATTGGGGGGCAAGTATGTGTCTCATCCTGCCTATATGAAAGCCTAAGGCACTCTGGTGGTATGGTGGTTAAAGCACTCAGCTGCTAACTGGAAGGTTGGTGAATGGAATCCACCAGCTGCTCCATGGGAGAAAGATGAGGCAGTGTGCTTTAGTAAAGACTGGCAGCCTTGGAAACCCTGTGGGGCAGTTCCACTCTGTCCTCTAGGGGCGCTGTG